ATATATGTAACTGTAACTTATGTAACTATTCCACTGGGATGTTGGATGATATTGGTATCATTTGGTGTTTAAGTATATTACAACTTGGAACGTTCTGTTACTATGAGCCTGAAGCGGCACTTGGTATGCAGCAAGTGGTGGATGCAGAGCATCTCCAAAGTGATCATCTCCAGAAGTGAATCCAAAGTTAGTAAGAAGTGAAACCGCAACATGGCCAGTGACAAAAGCACAACAATCCAAAACAAATGTAATGTATAGACTCTTGAATAATAAAGTATGAAGAGGTTTTACAATCCTAAGTCTTATTTTACAATTGAATTGAGGCGTCCAAATTCATACTGTAGATGATAGACACTTATGTGGGTGTCCATACCGGTTGCTTCGAGTCTTCAAATTGATTGGATGAGCTTCCCAGAGTTTCACTGGGTCATCGGGTCATCGTTTTGCCATCACTGTTGCGAAGAGTGCCAGTGCCCAAACGGCAAACCACGAAGACAACCGTCACAACACTCACGGCAAGGGCGAGCCACAAGGGCGATCTTGCCTTTTTTTTTGGGGGGGGGGCAGCTTTTCGGCTGCCTTTCTGTTGGCTTTGTTTCCCCCAAATTGGGTGATGTTTTGGTATGCTCATGATTCCCAGACACTCCATGGGACTGCCATATATGCCGATCAGGCCAGGGGTGGTTGACTGGGGGTCAATGGGGCAGCAGTCCTATGGCAGTCCCATGTGTGGTGTCTGGGTTAGGCCGTGAATTGCTTGGAGGGGTAGTCAGTCGATCAGTCTATCAGTCATGATTGCTCATGATTGCTCAAGTACAGTCGCTTTTCCAGGATCCCTTCCCTGGTCAGAGCAAGACCTTGTGGCTTCGCTACTGCCGCGCGGGAGATGGCCAAAGGCCGGACGGAAAGCCTCACCGGGCACCTGAAAGCACGTGTCAGAGTGGCGGGACTGGAATGTATAGTTAAATGCAATGTATAGTTACAACATGTTACAACTCATTTCTCCCATCATTGAGGACTTTTTAAAGCCTTATTCTTGCAAGGAGCTCTTTCATACATTTTGGATGGTTTCGGAATTGTCTTAGCACTTCTGCGGGGCGGAATTGAATTGGCAATGAGCGTCTCATACACCGTGAAAACTCAGATGTGTGCTGTTTGTCGCATGGTTGAGCTGTTTGTCACATGATTCATGCATTTTCCTCCTTGGGACTTTTGAGGAAACAGCATGATCTATTGGGTGACCACCATCAGGGGTGTTGGACACAAGCAAGGTCTTGCCGAACACAAGACCTAAGACCAGCTGCGAAGATCAGACCTTAGATACCACTCAGAAGAGGGAAGCAGAAGCTTAAGGAAGGAAGGGCAAATGTAGACTCCGTGATTCATGAAGTTCCCCCATTTGGAGTGTAAAACGATATCCATTCATAATACCCATATGGGGGGCTTGATCAGACCATCCAGCGTTGGCATTTCTGCCTCACTCGCCAGGTACAACAGCCGCATCCCGGTGGATCCCGATGGTGCCCTGAGGGGCGGACGGGTGAAGTTGGATTACGACTATGAGGCGGACCCGGAGGGGGCCAACTTGCAGTTGCAGTTGAACAAGCAGGCGCGAGCGGGTCTTGCGGTTCACGACCAGCGCGGTGTCTACACGGGTTAGCGTAGGCACCGGGGGCGAGACACCCACAAGTGCACCGATAGGGCACCGGTTAGCGCAGGCAGGTGCGGGTGCTTTTGCGTGGTATACCTACATTGACCCGGACTTCAACCACCCCTATTTCATGACTTCGCCAAATGCAACTATTGTTCATACCTACCGTATATGCTTTGGGCGTATGGTTTTCATACCCTTCACGATCGATCCTTTACTTCACGTGAATGGAAGAACCTTGGAGCCCCATGCTGAAAACCCCCGCAAATGGTTTCAGTAGGGATTCAAGCTTACCTTAGCTTAAGCCCGGCCATTTTGGACCTGCCGGACCCCCACTCCCCAACTGATCGCTGATCGTTTAGGCGGTCCCAGTGCCGGTCATGGGGATGTTTGCCATACTCCCTGGAATCATCGAGGACCACCAGTTACCCTAAGAATCCTTATGGGCTGTCCATGGCAGGGGTTGGACCCGACCTCTTCGCAGGCGTTCGGGGCCGCACCAAACCCGGATTCTGTTTGATGGCCCGGATTCTGAGGGAAAGGAAAATGGTCATCCAAGGGACCATTGCACGGAACCATGATTCCAGGGAGTGCAGCTCCTGTGCAGCTGAGACCGTGCCTCGAAAGCAGGAGTTCGTGAACTGCTTCTGCTCCAGCAGCATCTTGCACGAGACGTTGGCTCAATTCTCCACCAGCGACAACAGCACGGCCAACGTTCCAGACGGTATCGCCATCAATTTAGATGCTCGGCAGACATTCGATCAAGCTCTTGCATCAATGATCAAGCTCTTGCATCTGCGAAGTGAGCTTTTTGGGGGGATCTCTGAGAGCCCTTCTTGGAGGGCCACATGATCCATCATGAGGCCACATCATCCATCATGAGGCCACATGATCCATCACGAGGCCACATGATCCATCATGATCCCAAACTAGGTCTTGAGAGGAAGTCAATGACCTCCCAAAGACCATCTGGAAGAAGGAAAATACACCAGTCTACCCATTGGGCCAGGTGGCCTCCCCCCTTTTAAGAAACACTCAATGGTGGTGTTTTCCACCAAGCTTTCGTTGGTGAAAGCCTTTTTGACTGTCCCTCGGAGTCGAGAGAACACCAGATGGATGGCAGGCACCAAAAGAGCACAGCCTGAGAAACCATGATTGTACCAGGACCCTCCAAGAATTCTATTTATATATACCCCCTTAGCTGTGAAGGGGTGTCCAAAAAACCACCCGTTGGAAGGTGCTGGTATCAAACATGTATTTAGCAGGGAGCCACGCCCGGAGGGGGAGAGAGAGAGAGAGAGATCGGGGGGGATAGCGGGATGTGTTTCCCCGCTGGCCTGCAGCTTCCTGCCTTAGGCAATTGAAGTGGCGGCTAAAAACATTTGATCATGCTCTCATTGCTGATGTACAAGTCGACCAGGTCACAATTCCATCCATCGGACATGCCAGACACTCCATGTGTGGCAGGCGATTAAATCGACCGCCCTTCTTGAACCCGCAGGTATATAAGCTTGCCATGGGAGTGTGTGGATTGATTCACACCTTCCAAAACTCCCAGGTTCAAGTGATTCAAGGGCCCTCCCTGCAGGAAACTGCCCACAGCCACCGTAGTACTAGGAGTGTCCATCTTAGCGGGCCTTCACAAGTGCCACCCCGTCTCCCAAGAAAAACTGGCTCACTTCACTGGGCCACTTCCCTGACAGAAGGTCCAGGTCCCCTGTCCTGGTTTGGGTGCCTGTTTTGTTTCTGCCAGATCACCTTTCATTCCTGGTTTCATCGTGTTCTCGGGACAGCTGCCAGCTGATCTGACAATGGATCTGAAACTGGAACAATTCCAACCACCTGGGGCACACTCTGCCTGTTTTGATACTTGTTGGGGCTCACTACCTGGGACGACTTGGCACTTGACGATCTTCTCACTAAGGGCTCGGCTCAAGCCAGCGATGTGAAGAGACCCGGCATCCCAGCCCAACCTCCCCCCCGGAAGCACCTGCCTTCGCATTGGATTGAGGACGTGACCATTGCAGATCCCACCAAGGAGATGCGGGGCAAGCTGTAGAAGCATTTTCAATGCAGAGGTTTCATTCGTTTTCGAAACGTGACATGAAATGACCAGCTTCGGTCGACCTGTTTGGAAAGGGTTGGTGTCGCATGGGTCGCCGGTGGCGACGTTTAAGACCTGGCAAAGGAGTGGTACTTGGAGACAGGCCAGCAGAGCCAAGAAGGCATCTATAGGTTCGAAACAGACATTGTTTGAAACTCATGGATGGTGCATCAGCTCTTATTCTCTCATCACCCACTTTGGTGGCAAAGAAACCGGAATTCCCGTAGCGGGACGGTGATGTCATTTTAGAAGAAATGAGAAGTCTCCGGCGCTCAAAGAGAGATGTTCCTGGGTTCCCCATGTGAAAACCTGGTGTATTTGGGATTATTGAACCCATTGACTAATATTCTTCAAGTTGGTTGAATCCACCAGCCAGTGATCAATCAGTGCAGGAAGAAGCAGATGCCGACTTGATGGACACCTTGAATGTTCGTCAAGGAGTACTCTTGGAGGCACGGTGTTCGTCAAGGGTAGGGGAACATGGTGGTAGGAACTGAACCACAGATTCTTTTTCCCACACGTACTTTGTGGAGACTGTCAATTGCTCCAATGTTCTAAGGCTATTAGGTGCTTGTAGCAGGTTGTACGAGGTTGTATGGCATATTGTGATTCTTTTTTGTATGAGAGTTCTGGAAGGCTCAATAGATTTCAATCGGGTCCCACATCTTGGTTTTCGTGTGCCATTTGTGGAACTCATCCGTCCGCTTCGTTTCTCTCCATGTCTCGGTTGTTGCGTTTTGCGTAGGTCACCGACCGAGCGAGCTTCAGCGATGATGTTTTCGGTCATGTTTCGGCACAACGACATGCACTTAGATGTATGGTGTATTGATCATACCCTAAGGCTCCAACTACCTCCTGAGAAGATGGTTATGGTGGGTGCCAGGGGGGTCTAACCTGGTGAAGTCGCCCTAGGGATATATTGATGAGTGCTCGACCACGCCAGGTCCCGGTCCAACCCAAGTCTACTTCTACAGGCGAATGTGCTGTTCCACTTTCCACTTCCGTCCACTCTTTTTGGTCAGTAGGACCCGCTCGCCTCCGGGTCATGAATTGAGACCTGTTAGGTCCTTCCTAACCAACCAAAGACCTGACAGTGATGGTACTGCAATAGGATGAGATAGGCCTCCATGTCAAATAGAAATGCTTCAATGATGTGTTTCCATCAACCTAATCACCTCGAAATCAAACCGGGCAGCTGGAAAAAAGACCGGGCAGGGCAGCACGGGGCAGGTTTGGGACGCGGACATGGGCAAATCCGACGACTTCTTGGGTGAGTGCTGGCTGCCGGCGCTGGGCTCCCTGACGGCGGCGCCCAAGCGCTACGTGCTGCCCGTGACCAACGCGCCGCCCGAGAAGGGCGCCACACGACGCTTGGGGTGATGGAGGCTTCGGTGTGGAGGGTTGGTGATGTTGGGGTTCTCAAATTGGGACGTACGTTGCATTATTCAGGTGATGATACACCCTGGAAGGTTAATCAACATGGAACCTGAATGAGTGAGGGTGCCATTCGACCCGGATCCATGTTAGTTTTCAGGCGATGGTCATGTTTCATGATGTTTCGCGCTTCTTTGCTTCCTTCTCAGTGAGGTTCCAAGCCAGTGAGGTGCCTTCTCTCTCTTTCACGTTCGTTTTCCTCCGCAAGGAACACGAACATACGCTGTCCAGAAGGTGTGGTGCAGCGGTAGCGGTGGTTCTGTGTCATGCGACGCGTTCAGTCGTTTTGGTGCTGCTGCGGTTCTGCACGTGGGAGAGCGCAGACTGATCATGGACGTTCGGGATTCACAGATGTGCCAGCTCCGAGCCGCTCTAAAGACTCTATGGGGGGGTTCAAAAGAACACCATGCGTCCATCATGCCAGTCCGAACGCATGCGTCCAAGCGGAACTGGAGTTGTTCCAAACCTGATTCTGTTTGCCAGGGCGGAATTTTGTTCCGACTCTTCCCTAGTCACCAGCCATCCCCCTTGAATCTCCATTAAATCACTCTCATAATCACCATGCACAGTTCTGTGAGATCATCTAACATGATCCATCCATCTGATCATCTAACATGATAGGGATGACCGTCAACTCACGCTCCCCCAGGATATCACAGCAAGAAGTTCAGCAAGGTCACCTGTGAAGGCCTGGCCTCCGCCACCATACCACCTCATCCGTCCGGGTCGGCTGGACGAACTCCCGACTTCGTCCACAACCCGAGCGGGGTGCGGTTCTTTTTTTCCCAAAGAAGTTGGAGTTGGATCCTGAACATCTAAGATGACCATCCCATAGTTTACTACCTACATGGACCCCTTGACCTACCCACCCCAAGAATGTATGAACATATGCCAGTCCCATTTATTTGGAGCGTTCGGGTTTGTTTCCTATCTCGTCGGGACTGGGATCCGCACTGGAAGGGCACCGACCCGGCCAGGCCACTTGATCGTGGACGCCTCGTGGACCTTCCCCAGCGAAACGGTGCCGCCCCTGCCGGATGCAGCTGATATGGAGAAGAGGGTGAAGAGAGAGGAGATCCTGCATACGGGCAGCTTGGCGAACAAAAGGCACGTAGAGCTGGCTGATAAATATGGAGAACTTGAATGGAATCTTCAGCCTTTTTTGGGTGTCTTCCATCACGTGCCAATCCTGTTTTTGGAGATCTGAACCAAGTGCCTTTTTAGGTGGTTTGAGTGTTTATAGATGCTTGCAAATCTGATGGAATTTAAGCTTTCCTTGCAGATTTCAGACGGCCATACCTCACTGGCTCGCCATAAGGAAAGCTGAAGCTGAAGATCATCAAGGCCTGCCATCAGCCCAACAGCTCGGATCGCGCCGTTCAACACCGGACGACGTGACCCACAGGGAGCCAGCCGATCCCAACCACATGGGTGGGCGAAATGGTGCAGAACGGTTCTGACCGAGACCAACGAGAAACCCTGTAAGGAATTTGCAAGTCAATCCTTAGTGCAGAAGAAGCCGTGCTACATCAAACAAATCATTATCACACTGTTGGCAGACGCGCAGAATTGGCAGATTGGTCCATCAACAGCTGCATTCTACCCCCGGCTCTTTGTGCCAGAGGAAAAAACACGTGGTGACACGTCCAAGCTCCAAAGAATCATTTCATGGCTTCCAACACCTGGACTTCCGGAATGTGTCCAAACATGGCAGGCCATCTCAACACCAAAATTACTCGTTTTTTCCGTAAACCTCCCGTCCCTACGCCTTCCCACCAAGCAGTCAAACAAGTACTGTTTCCTGATGTTTCCTGCTCTTCCAAGAGAGGTCAAGTGACCTTATAGATCTTATAGGACCCTACTGGGGTACCTATGGGATAGTCTATAGGGTCCTTCAACCTCTGTTGGTTGGAGCACCTGCCAAGCACAGTCCTCACCAGTCACTTCTGCTGCTTTCGGCTCCTCCCCCCCCTTCTCGAGGCCGAAGGCCTGCGCGGCGCGGACCGCGGCTTCCGGCGAGCCGCTCGGGCGGCCACCGAGGGACGGCTACCGGAGCCGGTGGAAGGTGTGTTTGATCCTATCTCCAAGTGACCAAAGGACGTGACAAAGGAGACACGGTCCAAAATCCATATATAAATTCCTTACACATATATCATGAGTGATCTGTGTTTGAGATGGATCTTCATCCAAATCCGAGGTTGAGAGATATGGGACCCTAGGAGTCACTGGGGGGACGTGACGTCGCCCACGTCCGAACTCGCCCCGGAGCGAAGTGGGTAGAGCTGGCCGATGTTGCAACCCAGGGGGTCGGAACGGTACGCCTGGGACCTGGGAGGTCTCCCTATTTTACTATAGAGTCCAGGTTTAGTCGGTTTAGTCCCTAGGGCTCCTATATCCGCAAGGGTTCCAGGTTTAGTCCCTAGGGCTCCTATATCCGCAGGGGAAGAAGGTGGTTAGAGCCCCCCAAACACACCAAATAACCATCTTCGAAAACGGAGGTAGGCCTAGGGAGTAGATATTCTTGGAGAGTTTCTGAGACCCGAGCCCACAGGACCATCAGCAGCCAGACACTCCATAGTTGGCATATAAATACGTCGCCTTTCTTTTGCCTGCAACAGCGCTATTGACATCTGGGTCAATACATGATCAATAGGATGAAAGCCTCCATGTAAGGAGGCTTTCTGTGTTGCTTGCATTGAGAAACGCGCTATATTTGCATGTAATAGCGATGTCAATATATACATGGTCAACATGGAGTGTTTGCCTCGTGGGAGGTCCACCCGGTCGTCTATGCTCGCCCCACTTCGCTCCGCTTTCGTTGGCTTTTTGGGGGTTCCAGGAAGGCAGCGATCCCTATGTGTGCATGTACGTGAAGAACGAGGCCTTCTTCCGCCAGGAGAAGGCCTGGTTCCATGGGGCGAGGGAGATCAGATCGAGTCAGTCAGATGCTGTTTTGAAGCAAAAGCAATGTGGAGACGTTCACCGAATATACCCCCAAAGCCTGAATTTTTATAGATTCTACTTGAGTTCACATACGTAAAGTCAAGTCGAGGAACATCCTTGTCTTCTCTCTAGGTTAACCTTTGAGGTTCCATGCTTTTGGTTTAGCAGATGAGCGTTCCAATGTGCCTTTATTCTTTCAACAGCATTTTAAATGCTGTGACATTGGGCCGCGGGTATATAAAGTATATATATATATAAGTATATGGCTTGCTGGACTCTAGACGTTGCACGATGATCTTAGAGGCTCCAGGGTCGGGACGGATCTAGACGTTGCTTCGCAGCTCCAGTGCTGCTTCTTTGCACCCAAGAAAGGTGCAGACGCAGAATCAACGGATGCGGTTGCTCCGTGTTGTTTGTCCTTTAGCGAAAGCCGTGGACAATTGTCACTGCGTGCAGCTCCAGTGCATGCCCTGAAACCTCAACACTCTCAACCATCCTAAGCATGCCAAAACCATCTAAAACCTTAGACCTTGTCGCACGGTAGACCCTAATGCTGAAAGTTTGAAGGCTGGCCCACAATCATCATGTTTTGCTTGCTCCAGATCAACCTTTTGTGTTGCTGTGTTTGTAAAACTCAAGTGATGGTAGTTTCCAGCGCTAAGTGTGTCCCTGACAAGTAGGACGACTCTTAGGACGACCATCCAACTACACACAGAAGGAGTTGTGGCCATGTGTAATGTCGTGCTTACTCCAGACTGCAATAGTATTGCACAACACTTGTGTCATGTAGTGGCAGAGGCCCCCCCTGGAAAAGGAAAAGGTAAATGCTCCCCTGACAATTCAATGAATTGCCCTTTTCGACTTCCAAGGATTCTGTGTTGCTTGGTGTTGTGAGTATTGGCGCCCAGAAACTCACAGCGGGTGGCTGAATTCCACTAAGTGAAGCACCTTCTCCACAACAAGATCGTTGCCAACACATAATCACATGTCTCAAAACACGAGGGACCGTAAAACCAACCACTACATGTGCTTCTCCAGGCTTCTCCCATTTATTACTACTTTTACCTTGATCTTGGCCTTAACATGTTTTGACAAAGCCACCTGCGGAGCCAAAACATCGCAAGTATACCCTCCGACTCACTAAGATGGATCGTGTTACATGGGACCCTTGCACGACGATTTTCCTTTGCCGCTGCCAACAGGGTGCTTTCCACTTCCATGTTAGTGAGTCGGAGTGTAATATGTATACCCTGGGAGTCAAAGACTACAAAAAGAATGGTCTAACTAGGTGACACGAGTCTAGGAATGTCCTTTACTTCAGTCGGTCAAAGTATAGTCTTTGGACTTCTAGGGTCTATGCCTACATTGACCCCGACTTCCACGCACCCCTGGCCGTATATTACGGCAGTCCTATGCCAGTCCCAGACAGGTCGTGTCTTCTAGGGTGTATATACAGCACCGACGGGCTTTTGCCGAACCGCTGTGTGTTTTCTGCTCTCTATCGGTCGACGGTCGCTTTGTTCCTTCTTCGCCGCTTTGTCGATGGTCGGAGGCTTGGGAGTAGACTGCCCTCCAAAACACAACTATATTGTAGACTCTCAGATTTGAATGAAGCCCTTCCAAATTAGATGGCATATATTGTTTCATCATATTTCATTTATTTATGCTTTTTGACTAATCAAGAGTCTGCATGATCTACATGAGGTAGTTGGACATGTTTGAGGGTTTCCCTTTGGGTTCCTCTTAGACAGAACGGTCTTGGACCCCCAAAAGCCCGCTGGCCAACGCCGCTGAAATCAGGAGAAGATTCCACCCGGCTTCGATGAGAACGGATGGCACCAGACAGCCTTGGGCCGACACGAGTGCTACTGGACCACCAGCACGAAGAAGGCCACCAGGAGCCTTGGGGGCATGAACCGTGGGAGCTTGCCGGAACCCTTTTGAAGGAGGAATGCACCAAAACGCTTGGGAATTTGTAACTGTGGGGGGGAGTGGGTTGGGCCAGCATCATAGTCCTCGTGATCAAAGGGATCAATGCCCAACTCGCTAGACTTGCGAGACTTCTGTGTCCTGACTCCCGTGCCCGTGCCGGCGTTGGTCGCCCCGAGGAATCCCGAATGGAACGAAGAGAAGGAGTTCATGCTCAGGACCCGGGTGCTGCGGCAAAGGAATGGAGTTGAAAGAGAGCTGGGATTGATAGGAGTGGAAGGGTTTGTGTTGGTTCCAGAGCAAGGGGGCTTTGGCTTGGGTCTCCCATTGGAGCAGCCAGTCTGTGCCCTTGGCACAGACAGCTTGTATGTAGAGCTGCTAGATTCCAAACAGCTTCTGGATGTGATTGGCTGCCAGGTGCGGCACGCACTGGAACAGCTGGCTGCCAGCCGAGATACCTCCGCACGCACAGGACTGGTGCCTTTGAACGGCGAACCAAGCAGGCCTATCACTTGGAGCTCACTTCACGCCAGGCAGACGAAGGGCTTTGACGGTCGGATGGAAGGGAGCGGAGGCGATGGAGCGCGGGCGGATTAAATCGATGGAGGTGATGTAGACGGCTCCTTACCGTTTGGGCGGCCCAACTTGAGTCATGAATGGTGCAGAAATGCATCCTGAATGAACTGGTTTTGATGTGTGGAGAGGTCACGTGGAAGTTTGGATCTTCGACGTTGGATGGTTGATGTTTGATGAGTCTATTTTCTTGTTTTTGATGATGTTTGTGGATTCTTGGATTTGTGTGATTGCTTTCAAAAACCAGCATGTGTGCAGTACTTTCTATCTCTGACTCTTTGAAGGTTGGGATGTTCACCAACCAGCCCCGAAGACCAATTCAAGCTCCATAAAACCTCAGTACCCAGGGCGTGTCATAGATTGGCGCAGATCGGTCTGTAACCCATTCATCATCACCCACGGGGCCTGGCTGGGCCCGGGTCATGGGATATGTACATCATCTATATACCTTGGGTTTGTCATATATTACCGGTCAGTAAACAAGTCAACCGACCTGGCCCCATCATCCACTGGGCCCTGGCAATAGGACTTCGTCCCAAGATATCCCCTCCATCCAACAAACATGGAAGTGGAACATGGCCCCCCGAAAGGAAGACAGTACATTCACTTCCACGAGTGTTTCAGGGTGGGTACCCAACCTCATGGCCCCTTTCATCATCATCCACATGGCCCTGCAAATAGGATGTTGTCCCAAGAGATGCCCAACCCCTAGGGCTCCAGTCGAGACTCGACCCCTTTGGCACCCGGGTGCCAGTCCCAGCTGAGGAACTACGACTGGCACCCAGTCCAGGGTCTCCCTCCAACCCTTTGGTCTTCTCGAAACCCCGAAAACGCCACGCGAAACCCCAGGCCACGCGACACCGCGATGACTACTACGCCGCGGCTCGGGAACCCCGGGAACGACTTCTGAACCGACTCTCCCGGTGACGAACCGGGAGAGTCGGATCGGGACCGGGAAGAGAAGATCATGGATGTGAGTGAGGTATGTTTCGTTGATGTCAGTGAGTTGGTGCCACAGACGGGCACAGATTCATATATATCTACCAGCACCCGACTCTGTCAGGGTCTGACCTTCCAGAGGACCGGCCCTGGTGAACCACCTTTGACTCTAGATGAGCATCGTTTTGATGTTAGGGGTCCAGTTTCTTACAGTATCGTGGTCTATGGGACCTTGATGATTTGCAGGGGTTCACTTCACTGGCTGAACACTTGTCCAGCTTACGACGTGGCCCAAACCTCCGCGGAAACCGCACCGCGACGTAGGACGCCCCGCGGCGTAAGACCCCCGGGGGGCATGGAGATGATCAATCCGAGTCATGCTGAGCGGCTGGCGCTCATGGAGATGGAGATGCAAAGGCTGAAAGCAGCGCAAAGCTTGCCGTCTTTAGGTGGGAGCTTTTCCGATCGCTTCTGAACCGTTCGGGTGACACATCGGGGGCTTCGTTCTCGTGGCGGAGTGTTCAGCGGCCTTCGACCGAAGAGACGGAGCTGGGCCGCACGTCTGGGGGTCGGGCCGAGTGCACTGAGCAAGGCGTCAATAGCATGGCCTTGCTCAACTCGACGAATCAGAAGGAAGGACAGGAAGGAGACGAGATGGGCTTCTTCATCGCAGAAGGGTATAGGTAGGTAGAATCACTTCAGGGAATAGTCATCGTATGTCATCGTGTTGTTTTTAGGTCTTCTATTTGTTAGGATTCTACTACCCCTAGGGATCCAAGTACCTCCTCAAAAGGTACTTGGACCCTCCAAACCCACCCCAAACACCTTCTCAGAGGGTACTTGGATCCTTAGGGTACTGTATATCAAGGTGTGCATTCTTGATACCAGGTGTATCACATGATGTCACATGCACTTGGTCACTTCCGTTTTGACTCCTGTGACCCCCGGTTTTGGTAGTCATAATCCACACATCATGTCGGACCATCAATAAGGGACCCATAACTGGTACAAAGAGTCATAACTGCACTCTCGGAGATGGTTGCTTGAGCTATCACAGATAGAGTGGGGAATCAGTGAGGCAGGAGCACCTTGATTGACCATGATTCATGGGGTTTGTTTGTCCTATATGACTGGTAAATGTAACAGTCAATTGTCACTATTTTTGAACAAACCATCACCACTCAATGTTACTGGCAATAACTGGAATATTGTCGAATCATTGGTTGATACTTGCTTGAGAGAGGGATACAATGAGATTCCAATGACTCCATACTCCAATTCCACACCTGGAGATATGGGTGTGTAATGGAAGAGGGGACACCCCATTGATCCCCTAGAACCAAAACCCATTGGTTGTGCCCCCCCCCAACATTACAATACACACGCATACGTTTCCATGACTCAGATGAGGAGATGAGGTTTGTGTGACGCATCTTTGTTTCGTGCGCCGACACAACCTGCCACACCTTGTTCTCGGTCCCTCCACTGCCTGACCATGTTCAAAATCACCATCGGTCACATCCAGGTGATTTTGAAGAACCTGTCGGGTAAACGCATCCCTGCGAACAGATGATTTGAGAATTAGGTCCTCATATCAAGGCGGAAAAAACGAGTCTTCAAAGGAAGAACCCAAACCATTGCAGATTGACATGCCAGACGTTTTTTCATGGCCATGGCCATGGGTCTTTGTCCACATGCAGAATCCTCAATCACTGCAGTTCACACTGACTATCCACGCATGTTCCCTGCTCAACAGTGGCCCTGCCAAAGTCCAAGACACACCCACTTCTTTATCTCGCGGCCACAGCCCACATGCAAGGAGGAGAAGATGAGAAGAGGCTGCAGCAGCACCAACAGCGACGGCAGCAGCATCAGCTGCAGCTGCAACAACTGCAGCAGCAACACCTGCGGCAGCAACAAGAGCTTCGGGAAGCGCAACAGGCGAAGGCGTGTCTCGGAAGGCATGGTGAACCACTTCTGAACAGATACCAGACACTCCATGGGACTGCCATATTTGCCTACATTGACCCCCAAAACCTCCCCAATGTAGGCAAATATTATGGCATAATTACTGTATATAACATGGAGTGTTTGGGGATTGGTCTAGTCTAGGTATGTCTAGTGATCAGCTAAGAATCCAAGCACACCTGTTGTCAGGCTTCTGATTTTTGTGCTTGAGCCAACGGCGAGCAGCCATCGAAGCCCCAAAAGACCATGGAATGGAATAGCATATACGTTAGTATATATATATATTATATACGCGCGTACGTATTATTATATTCAAACTGCCAGTAGCTTACTACAATGTAAAATGCATATATATATATTTATTATATTATGTGTTTTTTTGTCAGTTGGGTCACTTCACCACCAGCTGCACCCTCGTTGTTTTTTGGATCCACTTTGAAGTGACCAACCCTTCGACAGATCCAAGGCTCCAGGAGCTCCACCAGGACCTCCTCGCAGCGCACCAGACGCTGCAGAAGCGGCACGTGGAGCTCATGCGCGCGCACACGGAGCTTCAAGAAGACTTCAAGAAACTCAAAGCGAGCTCAGGTGCCAAGTGGAATTAGATCATACCATCATGAATTACGTCATGCATTGTATAGTAATATTATTGCATGTAATTAGTTTACCAAGTGAAGTGGTGTAGGCGGCTAAACCAAGCTGATGTTGGTAATGTAGATTCTTGATTCATAAACCCCCGAGATGAAGAGGATTTTCCAATTCAATCGGGGGGGGTTAATCAAGAGTCTACATTCTTGCAAGATGCGGCAAACGGAGTTTCTTTTTGGGTCTCAGCGGTGTCTTTATTTTTGATGCCCCTGTGGCGCTTGTTTGAGATAGATCACCCAGGGTGTCCATCAAGCTCGGGCCCCGCACCATGTCCTGAGACGTTGAGCTCCGCCGACCGCCGGAGGCCAAAGGGCCCGTGCGAAGCATCCGTCGTTGGGCGTGGTGCGCCTGGACTACGACTATCCGCCCGCGCCGGGTGACACGGATTGCCCAGGCGACGCGAGGGCACGGTGCGCGAGGGCGGGCAGATGGGGTGCGGCAGTGGGGTAGTGAGCTGCACTTTTTGCAATGCAGGGGGGTAGGAATACGGTGAGAGACATGGTAGAGATATGGTTCAGGGGGTCATCTGGAATTCGAAGCCGTTGAAAAGTAGAACGTAGAAACTTCAGTCGACTGATGCTTTCACGCTCCAACATGCGGGACCACCAGTGGAGAAATTGCATGGAATAGCCACTGCAGTTGTTTGAAGGACCAGTCCGGTTTCGTGTTCGTACTGTTGGGGTTGTGAGGCAGCTTTGGCTATGATGTCTACTACCGCTGCGTGCCGGGGCTCTCCTTCGAAATGTGCTCCTTGATGCATCACTGACGGGTGCTGAAGAGTGAGTCATGGAGGGAGGAGGGCAAGCAGAAGCAATCAGAAGACCAGGGAGTAGTTTGTTTTGCCCTTCCCATGCCATTTGCATCGGATCGATGAGGAGCCTCCCAGCATTCTGCAGCTATATCAGCTATATTTACATGTCTAGATGATGTGGCGAAATAGGGCATTGAACGGCCGATTTGAGGGGGGCATGATCTTGGGATGACCACTGACTGCCGCTGGTTACGACGGGATGAAGCTGCGTTGAGGGCGCCATGTTCCATTCTCACCCAGAGTTGCCCAAATCCAGAACTGGATCCTGTGAGTGAACGGTCCCCAGACCTCGTCCTCACACGTCACAGTGGCCTTCGCCAAGTCGACAGCCGCCTTGAGGTTCCTGAGATTGAGTGTTTTGTGGGTGGTGGCCTTGGTGCTCCACACGGAGTCGTGCCCTGCCAGGTCAGTCGGGGAAGTTCACGGAGATGGTGGAGCGACGCTTCGCGGACGCCATCAAACACTTAGAGGCGCCGATGTCTTCGGTGCAGCTGGGTGGAAGGTCCTCCCTTCACTGCGCAGCAGATGGGATGGGGTGTATTTGATTGGACCTCCCAGGCGTTCCGACCCCCCCCTGGAAGAACTGGACCAGTCGACCAGCCAACCCGGGTCCAGCAGGCCCTGATGAGTGGGCGTACGGACGGCCCTCATCAGGCCTCATCACATGGGTTTGTCGAACACTCCAGGGTCCAGCTAAGCATGCTTTGGCGCGCGTGTATATGATTGTATATGTTACGAGCAGAGCTGGGCTGGAGCACGTGGATTGACCCTCCGCTGCTTCGCTTCACATCAGCTTTGCCCAAATTAGGGTCATTTCATTGATACGATTTGCAGGAATTCCTTGAGAAGCCATGCATAGGTGACTGCTTCACAAAGCATCCAAACATAAGGGAGAAACACACAAAACAAACAAGACCCACGCCTCTCCAGGCACGAGGCGTGAGCGCCATCACAGGGGATTGTGGCTTCATGATGGCCTTCCAGGTTCTGGCCAGGACGGGACAATTGCACGACGGTGACGGTTTTGTGTTTTCAGGATCTAACGGCAGGATCTGGAGCGGAAGTGCGCTTTCAGGGTTTCAGAGCCTTCTTTTCCGGAAGCCCCTTTGCAAATGGAACACCAAGATGAGAAAGATTTGGGAAGATGCCAAGATGAAACCCCTGGCATCGACCCGGTCGCGCAGCGAGTCGCCTTCTTGGTTCACTTACTTACGGTTCCATGGGGGGTCCCCCCATGTGTCGGTCCACATGAGCTGACTGAGCTGAGCCGAGTTCACCAAGGCGTAATGGCAAGGATTCGGACAGGTGAAGGGTGTGGATTCGGGCTCCTGATATGGGAATGATGGGAAGAACACCTAGGGCTAAACGTTTTAAACGGGTCTGTCAGTCCTAGAAGACCTGTGATGAGCCGTCGGTTTAGAGACTGATTCATCATCCACTCGGCCCTGGAAATAGGACATCGACCCAATTTACATTTAGACAGTGAAACAGTGACAGTCACATGGAAGTGGATGGC